ATCCTTTGTGCATAGCAAAATGTTTGGTTCATTATATGCTCTCACAAAAAGATTCATTGAATGAATGAATGCATAAACCATGTAAAAATATGTGCAGTCAAAACATTTAGAAGTAAATATAAATGCAGCTAACTACTAACAGTGCTGGGTTTGTGTGGGGGCATTATGGGTGATTGTTTTCTCTCTTTTTCAAATAAGTAATGGACTTTTAATGTCATCATGGGTTTAGCCAGTCCCATAAGGTGCCTCTATGATGGGCATTTCTCACTTGCTTCTGTCATAGTTATAGTTATGCTTCGCAGTGTGTATGTATATATATATATAAATGTTTCTATTTTGGAGTTTTTCTAAAAGTTCTCAGTTAGCTGAGAACATTTGGGCTACCTATAGCCAGCCCCAATCCCCAGACCACAACAAATGGAATTCCCTTTTACCTACATCATGGAAGCTTCTTATCATCTCAGTGATTTTTTTCTTCAAGATTATTCATTTTTGGTCCTTATAACTAGGTATTTTAAGTACTAGAAGGCACAGGGTTAGAGAAATCACATATTCATGCTCTAGACATTCATAGTCCGGCAGACTGTTTCTGGTGAAGAATAAAAGCTTTCATGTAAAGCTTTTTGTCTAACTTCTAACGTTCTCACCTGCGATCACTGAATAGATACGCTCTGTGTGACACATTTGGTGTGTTAAATTTTAAATTTGTGAAGGTTTTTGTTTACTTTTAAATAATCTTTTGAATTAAGATACAACAGCCATTCATAACATACACAAGTCTGCAGTGTCCATTCAATAATTCTGACATATGTATAGACCTGTGTTACTACTACCCAGATCAAAATATAGAACAATTTTGGTACCCAGGAGGTTCCGTAGTACCTCCTCACCATCCGTTACCAGCCAACTCCCACCCCCAACCAAAGATAATCTTTTAGAATTCAGAAGTCTTTTATCAACAGAATTGATTATTTCATGTTATCGAACTTCATATAAATGAAAGTAAACACATATTCTATTGTGTCTGTTTTCTTTAGCTCATATTCTAACACATGTTCTATTGTGTCTATTTTCTTTAGCTCATAATTATATTTATGAGAAATATCCATGTTGTTGCTATGTAATATTCCATTGCCTGAATTGTGAAAGTTGATGATATGACTTCGGGTTATTACAGTCATACCCAACTAGATGGGAGTTAAGGACCATGGGGAAAAAGCACTCAGTTCACAAAGCTCCTGCTCCAGGAACTGTCTGGCAAGCCCAGCTGCAGAAGTAACTTGCTATAATCTTAAAACCCATTTTACCTAGTAATTGCTGAAACTACCTTCCATGCCTCTAAGATTAGTTTTACCTTCCACCAAGATTAGTTTTACCTACCACCGTCACTCTACAATTACAGCTTGCCAGAGCTGGAAATACTTCTCCAGGCCAATGAACTTTCTTTCAAAACATTTTACAAAACGTTTCTCTTAACCAATAAAACCCCAATCTTTTCTTTTGTTCTGTGGACACGCTGAAGACCGGCCAGGTCTGTGTGTATGCTCCAAATTACAATTTGGTTTTTGTGTATATTTCCAAAGAAAACTTTTGCTTAAGAGTTTTCCTTGCATTTGCATTTCTTTGCGTTGTTAAGCCCAACTTAACAAATGCTTTCATCCTGGCACATAAGCCTTATCCACAGCTCAACATAGGTTTGCAGGAGCACACTTCGTATGAGAGCCACTTAATGTGGAGATCTTAAGCTTCCCCTCATTGAAATAGTCATGTGCTCCTTTTGTCACCATAGTTTAAAAGGCAGGACAAAGGTGCCTCTCTCACCAAGACCATGTTCCCAAACAGCAGTGATGATAAACTAGTTTTATTTTTAATTTAATATCTTTGAGAACTGGAGTTTCCATTAGTTGTTAAGTCATTATCTGTTTAAGAAGAATGTGAACTTGAAATATTTGAGGCTGAACAAGTCCTTAAAGAATCTCATTATATGACTCTAATATGAGGGAAATAGAGAAATTAAAATTCTCATAATATTTATAGAAAAAAATGTGACTATGTGTAAAATAGTGAAACTGTACTCAGGTGAGAATGGTTGGCACTACGTGAAATTAATCAGATTAACAATATTGGCTAAGGAATTTAACAGCTAAAAAGAAATTTGAGTTTATATTGTTAAAAAACTGCACATGCATTTTTTTAAATTTGTGCAAGAAAAGTATGAAAAATACATTGCTTGAATTGACTTAGTTAACAAAAAGTGGCCTAAAAAGTAGAATATCTACTAGAGAAATTTTCCCAAGAATTGAACAATAACCTGAAATGGGAGAGCTGTATTTGAAAGTGAAACATACCAGTTATAGACTAGACCAGCAGAGGGCGCTCAATATATTTAGCCAGTAAAGACATTGAAGGCTTAGTCTTGTTAAGCAGACACATATGGATGAGGATACTTATGTAGTTTTATTTTAAATATGAATTCTCAGACATAAATATATTCATTAATGATTACAGATAATTTGAGATTCCATCCTCTCAATTTTAATTGACTGCCTTAGTTGAATTCAATTATTCGTATTATAAGAACAGAAGTCAGCCTGTGCCACAGAGTGAGACTCCGTCTCAAAAAAAAAAAGAACAGAAGTAAACTATACTCAGTGTAAGAAGTGTGAATAAGTTTAAAAAATACATTAACACATATATTAGCATTTGTACTGAATTTTAAAAAAAGACACCAATAGAATAATGAGATAAAGTTTTGTTGTAGAGTCGTGATAGTGGACCGTGTGAATAAAATACAACAACTTAACCAAGTGGGAGCAAAACATTTTATGATTCTTATGATAAAAATATACAAACAAGTTCTAATTTTCTTTGTGCCTATATAGATGAACATCGAAATCACAGCTATTCTAGATGATACCATTAAAAAGTAATAAATATTGAATCTGATCATTTTAATGGAAATAATATATGTTTAGAAATTAGGAAGAATAAAAAGAAAAATACCAAGGTGGACATGATTAGGTTTGTAATACTTAACTTCTGGGATATTTGAACAATGTTCATTGACACTGTTTTAGACTGTGAAGAGGTGAGTGATAGATGCTTAAAGTGATTTCAGAAGGAATACATAATGATGGAGTACGTAGGTGAGAAAAGGCTTGCACGCTGAAGGAGGGAAATAAAACTGTTATCGTGAGAGTGTGTTTGCAATATTCTGCAAGCTTTTTGTAGAATGCTATTCTGTAAAGTCTGGCTAAAATTATTAAGGTAAGAAATTTAACTGTTGTAGGCATCTTATAGATTGTGTTATAACCGTTCTAGTGGTAGACTGATGAATTATGTCATAAAAAAGGCACTTTCAGAAAACTGACAATCTTTAAGTCTTAATGGGAAGGAAATCCACCTATGCCCTCTGCTTTTTCCAAGTCTCTTCCTTCCCTACCCCATAAAGATGGGTAAGACTTTAAATCTGTCCAACTATTGCTGTGGGAAGTAGTTCATGGAAGCAATCATGGAAAAGAAAAATATAGAGAAGTATATTTCCAGGGTTTTAGGATTATACATGTATAGAAACAAAATGAGAAAATCATCAGGTCTAGAAATACAATTCGAGAAGCCTAAATAGAACAAAACCAATAGTGCTTCTTTCATCTGTGGATTATATGGACTGAATATGTACAAATGTTGGATATAAATCAGGGCCAAATTTTCCACACGAATCTAGAATATATCAAAATCTAAAACAGGATTATAGCCACTGAGAGAGGAAATTGCACCAGAACCGCACTGTTTCTAACCAAATTACATGCATCTTCTCTGCATTTACACTCATATACACACATTCATGTTAACTTAGATTGTATCGTATTGAAGATAATTCTATATAGTTCGGTTCTTCTCCACAAATGCTTTATTGTAGTTAAGCTATACTAACTTTGAATAGAACCACAGAGATGCTGGTAAAAGACTTACATTGCATACAGGAGGGAAACAGCTTTTAAAAAAAATGCCTGTATAAAGCCTCTTCCTGTTGAGATGGATTCCAACACACACTCACACACACCTCTACAAACACTTACACCATCATATATATAATAATTTGCATATTAGATTGTTTTTCCTTAGAAAATTTACTATCTGTTTACTATTCTAAGTAAAGTGAATGTAATTATCTAATATTGTTTTTTTAACTAATAAATCCCTGTGTTTTATATCATATTTTAGTTAATATTAACTTTGAGAAGTATTGCAAGCTATACTTACTAAATTTAAAAAGATAATTCTAGCTAATTTAAGAATCATCATCTACACAGTTTCAAAAAAAGTAAATTGGCTGCTAGACAATTTTATAGATGTTCAGTGGTTCATGTGTCTATTTCTGCATTTTATTACAGTTAAATTGCCCAATAAAAGCTAAAGGGCAAAGTCGAGATACCATGTGCTCTTTAGAAAAAGCTTTAAAATTTAAGACAGAAGAAATTTGGTCTGTAATGACAATTTTTCTGTTTTTCTGGCTTTAATAACTTGATTATATAAAATGTCTTCATATACAGTTAATAAAATTTCTAAGTATAAAGTTTTGGCAAATACTGTATTCATTTGAAAAAGTAATCAAATTGAATATTTAAAATAACTTTAAAAAATGTGTAAGTGGGGTACAGAGTAACCATGTAAGTATTTACTATTCTGTTTACATCTGGATATTAAAGATTATTGGAAAAAATAATTGCTATGGTGACATTTTAGCTTTAATTTGAAGTTTAATATTAGATTGTCGAATTGAGAAAATCAATGTTGTTTTTGCTTATATTTATATACTCTAATATACCATCTCTAACTGAAATGTTATTACCCGCAGGTGACTGTAATTTAATTATACTATTATTTTATCTTTTAAAATCTTGTTATATTAATTTGGGTTTTAAACTACATAAAATGTTGCCATTAATGTAATTATAGATTACTCTAGCGTGAAACTTGTTGCAAAGTAAAATGCCTACCATGGTTGTCTCTGCGATAGAGCCAAAGCTGTTGATGAATATGTTGCATGTGACATTAACTGGAGGGCCTGAAAAAGAGAATAAAACATAAGGGCTGTTTAGAGACTTATCTAAAACATTTTCAAATAATTCCTTGCATTACATTATTAGTGTGTATATATATATACACACACACACACACATATATATACACACACATACACACACACACACACACACACAAAGAGATGCTCACAATTGAAGCAATAATTCCACACAACTATATGTATTGAGAATCACAAGGTTCACAAGGAACACTGATGCTGATTATGTTTTTACTTCTCTTGGTCTTAGTTTTTAAAATCTAGATGTCTCTAATGGCTCTGTAAATGCCTGATGCAGTAAGTCCAATATCTAAGCTCCTTCAGGGATAGTGTCTATTGATCTTTTCCCCGCTGCATGGGCTATGCTTTTCTATTTCTTTGCATGTCTCATATTTTTTTTGTTGAAAATTGAATAGATAACATAATGTGGCAACTCTGGAAACCAGGTCTTCCCACCTCCAACCCACAGTTTGTGGTTGCTGGTTTTTCTTGCAGTTGTTGTTTCTTCTTTAGTGACTTACCTGGACCAATATGGTAAAGTTTTCATTTCCCTAGAGTACACAGCCACTGAAATCTCTATTTAGTGAGTTTAGTGGTAAACTAATATTTGGTTAGAGATTTCTTTAAAGCCTTGAGCCAATAAATCTTCCACTCTTGCCAAGGGTCTTCCATGGGTTTGGGGACATGTCTTCAGTGCTCAGTTAGTTTACAACTCTACCTTACCCTTCACTTCCTGCTTGCACAGGACCTGAGGTCCACCAGAGGTGAGATACTGGGACTCTCTGAGGACTTCCCTGGGCATGCACAAAACCCTATATGCAAATGTAAACTCCAGATTGCAAAGATATGTTAGAGCTTTTCAGAACTGCCTAAGAACATCGAATTTTCCAGGTCCTTTATAATTTTTGTTTAGGCTCTTACTTGCCCCAACTAGTGTCACAGCCTTAGGCAGATACAATGTTAAACAATCTTCTGATTATTTTCCACAAATGCCCTAGAGATAGAAATTTTTCCCACCAACTGAGTTCTCAGTCATGTCAAATAATGGAAAGCCCTTTGAGCGAGGCTTTTCTGGGGAGCTACCAGACAGGCAGAATAGTGACAAAGCTCTGGGGATGGACTTTCTGAGGAACTCCAAACCTGGTTAGCCGGCTTCTGGTGGTTTTACAACTTCTACTGTTTAGAGGCGACTGGATTGCAAGGCTGCTGTGGAACTGGGAAGGTAGGCCAAATTAATATGCCTTCTGTTCTTACAGAAATTCATCAGTTTTTCTTGAATAAACACTCTTAAGGTTGTTGTAAGCTTTCAATCAATTTTAAGAGTTCTAACGGTTAATCTTGATAATTTTGCCAGTGGTTTTGTTGCTTTTTTGGAGAAGTGAACTTATTGAGTTTCTCATTCCTCCATTCTGGAAATTTCTTATTAATGCCGGATTTAGTATTCATCATAAATCCAAAGATTTTCATTTTCATAAGTCCCATTTATTCATTCCTTTACTAAATACCCAAAACCTTTGCACACAAAACTGAAGAAGACACAAAGAGATTATCATCTAGCAGAGAAGGAGGAGCAGAAATCGGTGAATTGTTGTAAGTTTCTTGCTTACAACATTAGCTGATTCATAGATATTTAACCCATAGTAACTCTGAGAGAAGGTAATATTCCATCATTTATGCTTTAGGGAATTAAAGCACAGTGAGCCTACATAAGATGCTCGTATTTAGAATGTGAACCATTGCTCTGATTCTAAAAATCATTCTTTTCCCACCATGTTGTTTACATGACATTCAAAACATTTCATTATCTGGCCACAAACTTTGTTATTAGGCAGACACCTACATAAATAGAAACATAAAAATATTTTGGCTAGGGGCTAAAGTAGCTCTACCTGAGTTACACTTTACCTAAGTTAGTCAGGGAACACCACATACAGAAACTGATATCTAAGCCTAATTTCTTTCTTTTATTCAACCTGAGTATAATTTTTGAGTAAATTGATTTTACAAGGTTTGCTACAAAAATGCCTAGTATCCTCTTGCCTTATTTCTGTTTCTCTCTTTTCAGAGATAATTATTTCAATTCATTTAATCAATTCTTTGGATATTTACCTCAGTTTCTCTACATAATATGTTTTTTCTTTTAGTCACATCTTCTGATGCCCACAAAGAAGATGAAGATTTAGCTTTTTTACATACATCATCCCTATCTCTACTAATACAAGCCTTTGTTTCTATGTTCCCATTATCCAATATTTCTGTATGAAAAAAGGCTTGGTCTTTTTCGTTAGCTCAATAATCACTTTTTATATTAATATGACAAGGTAGATATTTACCCAAGCCAAACAATAGAGTATATTATGCTTACTTTTTCCTTTCCTGCAGAAAATTTTCCTGAGATTGGCAATTGTTTCATGTATAATATTTCACATAGCTTTCTTCACTTGAATCGTTAACTTATCGACAAGCGCTGAAATGTCTAAATTTTGATTCAGTATGTACAGATCCATCAGTTGCTCTATGAACTTTACCTTCCTCTGGATTTACAGAGGAATGTAATGAGAATGTTTTGCTCTGGTTCAAAGCAATCGTTCTATGACCTCCCAATCATGCTAGGAATTACTTCCATAGCTTTCTGTTGTGGGATCCTCTTTCACGGTCCCACACTTCTTTCTTGGTTCATTTCTTCATTTTAGTGGAACATACGCTTCAGCAATATTTTGACAAAGGCTGCATAAGGTTATAAAGCTTTTGAGAGAGTCCCTGTCCATAAATGTCTGTTTTTGTTGTTGTTGTTGTTGTTTTGCATTCACACTTAATGTATAGCTAGTAGAAACTTTTAGGCTGGAAATGATTTTTTCTTATGAATTGTGAAGATAATTTTTCATTATTTTCTATTTTTCAGCATTGCCATTGAAAAGTCCAAAGCCATTTTGTAGATGACCTGTTTTTCTTTCTGAAAATAACTAGCATGTTTCATTTGTTCCAATATTTTTTTTAAAACTATTTCATTAGTTAGAATGGTCTAAAATATCATTTGAGGTTGCAATTTACATTTATTTGATTACTGGTTCATGATTTTCATCTTAATTTGCTTTTCAACCTGTTCTCTAGATGGCTATTTATCTTGCTGCATTAAGGTAGAGGAAAAATCAATAAAATTATTTAAAAATAAAGTCTAGGTTTCAAAGTCCTTTAAATTCTATGCTGCACATTGAAATCACCGGGGAATCTTTACAAAATATGCATACCCGATTCTCACCTACTTTGGTTCGTATGGCATGCAACCAAGGCATCAGTATTTTTTAAAGCTTCCTAGGTCATTATAATGTGCAAGAATGTTTGGAAATGACTGTCCTAAGGAATTACCGACTCGAAAATATCTGGGGCCACTATACTACAGGGCTAACAGAGATTTTCTTAGAAATAGAAATATACAGAGATAGGAGTCAGGGCTTGGGAGCATTGAAAATTCAAGGCTATTAATTTCAGTAGAAGAATTGCCTATTATAAATTTGGTGAACACTGTTAATAAAACAGAGTAGATGCTATGTACTTAGAAAGGGCCTAAAGTTTACTAAACATGGGAATGTCTAGAACATATAATTCAAACCGATATAGAAGTTAAATTGTTTTAAATATGAAGGATGAACATGTAATAATAAGAACCTAAGAAAAGGCCTGAATCCTAGAGGTGCTGTATTTTGTTACTAATGAGCATTTTAAAATATCTTCATTGCTTATTTCTAAGAGTTTACAAATTTCTAAAATTTGTAAGATGAGAGCAGTGTCTTATATGTCACTATATGAGAGAGGAATATACATAGTTTTCTCCATGATTAAAACAAAATTCCATCATAAAAAAGTATGAGGTTACAACTGTCAGAAGTTAATTTTTTCTTAATGTGAGTCTAATATGAACTCTGAAAAGTATCTGTAGGCTAACTGGCATCCTTGAAAAGCTAAAACCAATCTTTCATATTTTCTAGGTTATTCTCTTGTTCCCCCAGATAATACTACAATCCTACTAATTTTTTTTTATTGGAATAGCAATATGAATGTGAGGAACATTATTTGGCTTGAGATAAATTCTGCCATGTTCTCTGGTAAAAGGAAAACATAAGAACATCAGAACTGGGTTAAATCACCGGCAAATAAAATGCTGATGGATTACACCCATTGGGTGCCATTAGGGAAACATGGCCCAGGGGGAACCTACTACTAGAACATGCTATCTCCATCAGATTGGGATCTTTGTGGCTGAAACAGAAATAAATAAAAGAGTGGGGAGATAATTTTTCTTATTTTAATTTAGAAAGGGAAAGAGTTTTTATTTGTTGGATTTTAATTTGCCACAGGCATTGAATAAAGGATGAGGTATGCTCTATAATATATTTTGTCTCGTTTTATAAATTTAATTAGTTTCTGTATGTTTATGGATAATAGTGGTGAAAGAGCAAATGGAGGCAAAAATTCAGCATAGGCTTCAAGGTTCTGAAGTTAGTGAAATGCGTTCTGATACATTTCAGTGTCCCCTGGGAGCAAGTGTTGTGTGGCACATCTAATGACTCCAGGAAGGTTCTGAAAGGAGCAGTGTTAGGTACAGTCTTTGGAGGAGGAAACCTCTGATATTTTTGTTTTCTTTCTGAAATATGGTGCTGACATCCCTAGTTGACCAGAGGCTCAAATAGTAAGGCCGATGGATGAAATAAAGAAAATGACATGTTTCCACAGAAGAATAATGGTCAAAGAATTGACTAATTTAGGCTTTCACTAATAGTTGGGATCATAATGCCTCACTGTATTTGAAACAGGCTCCAGCCTCAGCCTCCATAACAGTCCTCCAAGAAGCAGCAGAAAGCTCTTCCTAAAGCTGAAAAGTCATCTGGTTTCAAAACCTAAATTTCATGTGCAAATAAAGTAGCTCACAATCGTCTCAGGCCTAAACTTTATTCTCCATATGGTTATAACATGTTCCTTGCGTGGAT